GTTATAATGGGTTAATTTTTATTATTGGAATGATAATAATAATTAATCAATTTAAAACAAGGGGATAAAAAACACTTTAAAACTTTAATAAAATAAATCTTATTCTTTTAATAGAATTAATTTAAAAATAACATTTTTTAAAAAAAACCTCTTCAAACCAACACTTGATACCATTCCTTTAATTAGAATATTAATTTATTAAACTAATTTACAAATTAAATAAAAAGAATCATTCATTATCTATTATCTTTCAAACTATCTTTAAAAATTTTTAAAATATAAAAAAATAAATAAAAAAAAAGTATATAATGTCCTAAAAAAATTTACCAAAGTTTATTAATTTAAATCTAAACAATAAGAACAGTAAAAATGGCTTTATTAAGTGGGTATACTTTAAAATATAAAATCTATAGTAATATTTTTACTAATTTCTTTAATTTTTAATTATTTTAGACACTTTAATCTCTATTTCAACTGTTAAATCCAAAACTAATATTTATAAGAAAGACAACAGAAATATAACCGAACAACTTTATATTAATAATATTAATCAAACAAAAAATCAAGACTATTCCAATGTACGTCTCTTGGGAGTAAGAATAAATTTAAATAATTAGATAAATATAAAATATAGAATAAAATAAAAATAAAAAATGGAAAATAAAAATATAAAACTTGTTTTTTTACTAAAAAAAAAAATAAAGAAAAAAACAATATGTTTTTTTCTTTTTTTTATTTAATTTTAAAAAAGATAAATGGATAAATAAAAATAATTTTGTTTAAAATAATATTTATTAGGAGAAATATTTTTCACTTTACAAAATTTTCTTTTTTTTTATTAACAATATTATGACCAATGGTTATTTTTTTTTTTAAAAATTACCACCATAAATACCATAATCCATTGTGTTATTAACATTGCCAGGATGAATATTTGTCGTGCCATTTAAAAAGAAATCTTGATTGTTTTGTAACCCTAAAAGATTTTGGGAAATACCAAGACCACCATTTGGTTTTTGAGTGTTATTATTGATTGAGTTTAAGGAATTTAAAGAGTTTAAGGAATTTATTGAATTGGTTTGGGTAAATAACTCTTGTTCCAAAAGGAAATCCTCTAATCTTTTGGTTGACTCTTCGGTTGGTTCTTCTTTAATAGTGTAGGTATTAATTATATTATTGCCACTGTTATTATTACTATTGCTACCACTATTGTTATTTGTATTAGCAGTGGTGGTATTAGTATTTAAGAAAAATTGGTCACCACCATAATTTTCTAAGTTTGAAATAGTGGATCTAATTGATTGGTGTTGTGGTGAAAATGATGAAGTAATTTGTTGTGTTTGTGTTTGTGATGGTTGTTGTTGACCGTTATTAGTTGGGATTGGTTGCTGTGGTTGTAAAATTTGTAATTGTTGGTTTTGTTGTATTAAATTTAATAAATGTTGGGTATTTGAAGTTGATAATGAGCCAGTGGCAAGTTGTTGTACAATATTTAAAATGTCTTGTTGGTTTTGTAATGGTCTTTGTTGTTGTTGTTGTGTATTATTATTATTTATATTATTATTTAAAGCACTTGTTAAACTATTTAAATTTGCTATATTATTTAATGTATTATTATTGCTACTATTACTATTATTGTTATTATTACTACTATTGCTACTATTACTACCAGTTGAATTATTCATGGTATTAATTTGACTAAATAATTGACTGCTACTTGATGATGGAGAAAATGGTGAAGTGGGTATTATATATTGTGATTGTGATTGATTTTGTGTTTGTTGTTGTAATGGGGTATTTTGAGGTGATGATGGTGAAACTATTTGAGTTTGAGGTACTTGTTGTTGTTGAGTTGGTGTGGTAGATTGAGTTGGGGATGAAGGAGCTTGGCCATTAGAGTTTGGTGTTTGTTTATTGGATGAAGTTGGTGTGAGTGGTGTAGTTTGTGGTTGAGGTGATGGGCCATTACCATTTTGAATTTGAAGATCATTTACTAAATTATTTTGTTTGCTTTGAAGATTATTTTGTGAGTATTGAGTGTATAGAATAGAGTGTCCCAAGATTGCTTTGGTAAGTTTTAAAACTCTTTCTAAAAGATTTTGATGTGATTGTTGTAAGGTTTGAAAAGCATATTGAAGTTGGGTGTGGGAGTCTTGAAGATTTTGGTGGGAATATTTTAATTCGTTATAATCAACTTGGAATTTTGTGAATTGGTATAATAATTGTTGGAGGATAGCATGATCAGTAGCATTGGTATTATTATTCATTTCTAATTTATGATCTATTGGAGACATTGATGGGGTAGTAGCTGAGCTGCCATGAACACCAAAATTACTATTACCATTGTTATGACTGCTACTGTGATCGTCATCATCGTCCTCAAGGCTGGATGATGGGAAAGCTCTATAATTATTTGGGTTGTTGTTATTTAAAGTTAATGATCTTCTTACACTCTTTCTTCTTTTAATGTTAATTAATAAATCTGGAAAACTCTTTTTGAAATTGTCATTTGCAAATTCGAATGTTCTTGCTGTTTGTGACTCTGATGATTCATGGTTTGGTTCTTCGTGGACTGATGGTTTTTCATCTTCAACTTTATGAAAACCATAAATATTTAATTGTCTAAATTTTAAAAAAAAAAATTCAAAAAAAAAAAAAAAAAAAAAAAATTCAAAAAAAAAAAAAGGGTTAGTATATTTTTAAAATCAAACACTGTTGTTACTATTAGCAACCTAAATAATTACCTAATAAAACTACAGAACTTTCCTGTCTTGAAATATTTTGGTAAAAGCTTGGTTTCAAACTCAGCACAGTTGGGAATAACAATACTTTCACCAGTTTTTCCCCATCTAATAAGATGTTGGTTCTCTGGTGTGTCTAACATTTGAATTAAACTCTTGATAAATGGAGCAACTCCATCTCTTGTTAAAATTGACATTTTTTAGCTATTTATTATTTATTATTGTTATTAATAATTTTATTGTTATTATTGTTGGAAAAAATTATTATATAAAGAGAAATAAATAAAAAAAATTTTGTTTTTTTTTTTTTTTTAATTTATAAAGGTGTTGTTTATTTGAATTAATAAATTTGTTTGGATTAAATAAATTGTTTATTATTAATATTAATATTAATTAAAAAAAAAATTATTTTTTAATATTGAAGAAAAAATTACTATGAAATCGAAAAAAAAAAAATTTTGTTTCTCTGTCCAAAAAAAAATTTACAGGTGACAAAGGTGAAAATTATGTGTACAAAATAAAGATAAAATAATAAAAAAACAAATAATTATTAAATGCTATTATTTTTTATTTTTTATTTTATTTTTATTTTATTTTTTTTTTTAATAAATAGTTTTTATATATATAAAATTTTATATATATAAAAATGACATTAATTGTGTTGTGAAAAGGTTAAAAAAAAAAAAAAATTTAAAAATTAAAAAAAAAAATAAAAAAAAAAATATTAAAAAAAAAATAAAAAAAATAAAAAAAAAACATTTTAAATATTAAAAAGAAAAAAAAAAATTCAAAAAAAAATAAATAATTTTAGCCAAAAGTTTTTATGTGTCTTTTTGCAGCGTTCGCGAAGGAAAATAATTAAAACAAAATAAAACTATTTTTTTTTTTTTTTTTTGATTATTTAAATAAAAAATAAATATTATTTTTTTATTTTAATTAAGATATCTAAATTAAAACAATTATAGTTTATATTTATAAATATATATCAAAAAATTAAAAGAATAAAATACATAGCAGTGATATAATAAAAATATTATAACTATGTATAAACTCATATTAGAATAAAAACAGATTAGCAATACACTCATATAATTTATTGAGGGGTTAATGAATTAATTTTTATTTTTATTATTTTTTTTGTATTTTAATTATTTTAATTATTTTTTTTTAATTATTAAAATGAATTTATATATAAAAGCAAATCTATGTTTTTTATAGCATAGATATATTCAATACAATTATAACGATAAAATTGGTTGACATTTTAATTATATTAATATAAAGTATATTAAAACGAAAAAATAATCGGTTTTTTTTTTTTCTTTTTTTTTTAAAATTATTTAATTTTTTTTAATTTATTTTTCATTTTTTTTTTTAAATTCAAATTAACAATTTTCAGAAAAAAGTTTTTGTTTCCTGAAAATAAAAATAATAACATATATAAATCTTTTTTTTTTTTTCTTTTTTCGTTTAAATTTTATGAAAATTATTACTAAAAATAATCAAAGAATTATAATTATTTTAATAAAATTAGAATAATATCATTTTTATTCAAAATAATAAACATCATTGAATAAAGTTTCATAAAAAATAATTATAATATAGCGATAAAATAATAAAAAATGATACAATCTACAATTAGGAAATGTTTTTTAACAAAATCAATAAAATTACCAATATATAATAGTATTATTTGTAACAATTCAAAACCAAATATTTTAAACAGTATTAATAAGAATAGTTTTATAATAAATAAAAATAAAAGCTTTTATAGTACAACTTCATCCAATAATAATAATAATAAAAATGAAACATCATTAGAATCATGCAACAATATTAAAGATAAAGACGGTAATATCTTAAAAGTATTAGATGATGACTCACCAAGAAATCTAGCATCAACCGGTTTGGTCGAAGCCTTATTACCAAAAAAACAACAACCAGATTTACCATTAGTAGACCCAATTAGCCAAGCATCATCAAATACAATAGAGTTATCCGATCAATACTCCGATCCATTATTAGATCCAATTGTTAAAGTATTTTCTGTATTAACTTCACCAAATCATTTTATCCCAGTAAGTATTATAATGCATAGTTCAACAAGCCCGCCATTTAATTATCTATTAACTTTTTTTTTTCAAAATTTTTATTTTTTTTATAGTGGCAAATGAAACCACAAAGAGAGGTTACTGGTAGTGGTTTTATAATCAGCGGAAGAAGAATTTTAACAAATGCACATGTTGTTGCAGATCAAACTTTAGTAATGGTAACCAAGTTTGGTAATCCAAATAAATTTCCAGCAAAGTTAATATCATCAGCACATGAATACGATTTGGCAATGTTAACAGTGGAGGATGATGAGTTTTGGAAAGATATTGTACCATTAGAAATGGGTGATTTACCAGACTTACAAGATACAGTAACTGTTGTTGGTTTTCCAACTGGTGGATCTAATATTTGTGTAACACAGGGTGTTGTTTCAAGAATCGATTTACAACCATATGCTCATTCAGAGATACGTTCATTATCGATTCAAATTGATGCTGCTATCAATCCAGGAAACTCTGGTGGACCAGCACTTAAAGACGGTAAAGTTGTTGGTATTGCATTTCAGAATTTAGCAGGTGCATCATCGATTGGCTTCATTATTCCAACACCAGTTGTTCGTAGATTCATTAGAGATATAGAGCTAAATGGTAAATTTACTGGTGTTCCAATGTTGGGCATCATTTCACAAAATTTAGATTCAATGCCAAAGGACTACTTTAAGATTCCAGCTTCGTCAACTGGTGTGGTTGTCAATGAACTCCATCCATTTTCAGGCGCTAAAAATGCAATTAAAATTCAAGATATCATTACACACATCAACGGTGTATCTTTGGCCGATGATGGTTCCATCGCATTCCGTAGACGTGAACGTATTAGTTTCGAATATTTATTTAGCAGTCATTTCATTGGTGATAAAATCGATATCACCGTTTTAAGAGATGGCGAACGTTTAAATCTTCAAGTACCATTAGTTAACCAACATCGTGTTGTACCATTCCAAATGTATGATAGCCGTCCAAGCTATTTTGTTTATTCTGGTCTTGTCTTTGTACCAATTACCTATCCATTCCTTTTAGAGCTCTCGGAAGATTTAGCTGTAACCTACCGTAGAATTTATGAACGTATCGAAAAGATAACATCGGAAGATTTCCAAGTTGTCATTCTTTCACAAGTCCTCTTTGATAAAACAAACCATGGTTACTCTAATTTAAGTTTATGTGAAGTTAAAAAGGTAAATGGTGTACCAGTAAGAAATTTAAAGCATTTGGTCCAACTCATCGAATCAAACGAAAATAAATATTTAGTAATCACTTTGGAACACGAAAATTTAATTATTTTAGATAAAGACGAAGCTCAAGAGGCAAATGTTAGAGTAATGAGCCAACATGCCATTCCACACCTAAAATCTTTAGATTTAAGACTTTTAGAACAAAATAATAAAAAAGAAGAAATTTTAGAAGGAGAAATAACTTCTAAATAGTTTTAAAATACTACCATAATAAAAAAAAAAATAAAAATATTTATTTATTTGTGTAATTTATTTTTTCCAAGTATCCCAATGGTTATTTAAAAATTTATTGTATAATTTATTATGTAATGATTCAATTAAAATTAATAATCAAACCCCTAAATCTTGAGAATTATTTTATCTGATTTAAATTAAATAAGCTTAAATACCAGATATGAAAAATTTTAATGAGATTAAATGTTAAAAAATTAAATTCCACGTAAAAAAAATAAAATAAAAAATAAAATTTATTACCATTTGATTTTATAATTTTAAAATTAGTGTTTAATTGGAAGGGGATTTTTAATAATTAATTAAGTATAAAAAAAAATAAAAATACTCTCTTTCTAATTCACCCCAAGTATATATAAATACATATATACGTTTTGATATTTATTTATTATTTATATGGATTATTGTCAAAATAAATTTTATAAAAAAGAAATAATTACAAAATTTAAGTAATCAAAAACAAAAATATTATCTTTTAAATATATAAATTAAAATTTCTCTTGATTTAAAAAATAATATATTGCAACAACATTTTATTACCAACTTTTTAAATCGATTAGAAAATTACCTTCAATCTAGTAACAATATTGCAAAATCGCTAAACTACCAAATATTTGGTTTTGTTTATAAACACACATACTCACACACACAAATAATTTTTATTTTTTTAAAAGATTATTTATAATTTTTTTATAACCATTATTTTTGTTTAAAAATAAATTTTAATTTTAAAAATAAAATTGGTATAATAATAAATATAAAAAAAAGAAAAAAATAAACTTTTATTCATTTAACTCAATAAAAAAGAAATCAAAAAAATTACTAATATTATAATGTTATTAAGTATGTGTGTTTATATAACATAGAGCTTAAAATATTTTTAGAAATATTAATTTAATTTTATTTTTAAAACTAAACTAAAACTTTAAAAAAATAAAATAAAAAAAATAAAGGAACAATCTCTTTAAGCACCATCACACAAAAATCAAACTTTAAGATTAATGAGTATAAAAACGACAATTTTCAAAACACATCAAATAGCATCGCTAAAACCTCAACATTATATTTTTCTCGTCCGTTCCTAATGAACTAATAAAACTAATGAAATGATCGACAACACACAAAACAATAACAAACTAATAAAAAAACTAATATTAACATATAATGTATCGTGGCACATAGTCGCTAATAAAAGTTATTTTATCATGTGATGTGATTTGAGTATAAATTGAAAAATAAATTTGTGATATAAATTTTTTTAAAAAAAAAAACGATAGCGATCCTTGGTTTATCTAAAATCCACTATCTTGATTATGATGATATTGAATAATTTGAAGGCTAAATAATTTTCTGTACAACCTAATCGTTTTTTTTTATATATACTTAAAAATTTTATTATTAGAAATTTAAGCGTTGAGTTCACGAAGACGACGGATAGTTGATCTAACAGTTGCACCAGCAGCGGTACTCATGGTCCAGGCACCACCAGCTAAAGTTTTCTTGCAACCATTACATTTCCAGATACCGACGGAAGTACGTTTAACAGCATCTTTACCACAGAATGAACAGGTGTAGGTACCGTGCTATAAATGAATGAATGTAAGTATTTGCTTAATCTTTCGTTTCGCTATAATTAATCCTATATATCAAATACATACTTGGGTGATTTCCATCTTTTTGACTTGCTTTCTTAATGAAGCACCATATCTGGTACCATATTTACCTACAATGCCAACTTTTTGGGTTCTCTTAGCCTAATAATGATAGATAAATGTTTAATCCATTAGATAAGTTCGATTAAAGGGGTGATAGAGGTTGGATAGAGAGATAGAGATAAAAGATATATACCATTTTGTGTTATATGAGTCTTCGTAATAGGCGGAAAATATTAATTTTTTTTTAAAAAATTTTTTGGCCAAAGTTTTTTTTTTTTTTTTTTTTAATTTTTAAAATTTTTTTTTTTAAAATTTAATCACATTCGTTACAAATAGTACGGATTAATCACCATATACTTTTTTTTATTTTTTTTATTTTTTTTTTTTTTTTCATTGTATATTTTAATAATTTACAAATAATAAAAATAAAAAAAATATTTATTTATTTATAAATAAATTATTATATAAATAAAATTTCCATTTACTTTAATTTCTTTTAATTTATTTTTTTATATTTAATTATAACTAAAAAAAATAAAAATAAATAAAATAAATAACAAATAAAATTTTGATTATATTTCATATCTATATTTATTCGTTTATTTATATATTTTTATAACTCTTCATTTTTTGTTTTCTTTATTCTTTTTTTAACCCCAAAATTTTTTTTTGTTTTTTTTTTTTTTTTTTTTGTGTTTTTTTTTCGTTGACCATATATGGTGTGATTAATTATTTTATTACCGCATTAAATATTTAATTTTAATATTAAAAAAAGATTACCTGGCCAAAGTATTACAAAAGAACATATATATTTTGTGAATTTTATTTTTCTTTGTTAGAAAATGATACTATATTTATTTTTGATCTGTTTATCTTTGATCTTTAAAATCAAATTCTGGAAGAAATAAAATAAAAAAATTTATCGTATTGATGCATTAAATTTTTTTTTTTATTACAAAGCATTTTAATTTTTTTTTAAAGATTTAAAATAAATCGGTTGTTATAGTTATAAAAAGATAATTTTCCATTAAATTTTTTTTTATTTATTTTTTTTTTTTTTTTTTTTTTAATTTTTTATTTAAAAAATTATTTTTTTAATTTTTTTTTAAAAATTTTTTTTAATTTTTTTTTTTTTAGTAATTAAAAAACTACAGCGATTATTTAAAAATAAATAGATAATAATAATAATAATAGTACAATAATAAAATAGTATAATAAAATAAAAGCGATAGTAACTTAAAATTAAAACAAAAATAAAAATATCATATTATACTTCCAAAATTAGAGGGAGTGTGGTCTAAAGTGTGTTGTAAAATTATATATATAAATTTAATAAAAAATGATAATCGAAAATAATAACAATAATAATAATAATAACAATAATAATAACAACAACAATAATAATAATAATAACCAAAATATTAATATTGGTCGTAGAAATACACCAAGTAGTGTCACATCAACACCAAGATCAACAGTAAATAACCATGGTAAAAATAATAATGATTCGACAGACCAATTAACAGAGTTAAAACTAGCATTAATAAATAGATCAAAGGTTGCAATAGAGTTAACACAAAATAGATTAAATAGATCCCCTGTTTCACGTATTTGCAAAGAGTAGGTGTTAAAAATAATAATAATAATAATAATAGATAAAATAAAATAATCTTACTAAACTATTTTTTAAATTTAGTATTTATGACCATATAACGATGACAGAGGAGCCATTTGGATCTGAACATCAAAATCCATGGAAAAAATCAGCAGCAACTAGTTTATTACAACAAAATAATACAAGAACAGTTGGAAATGCTAAAACTTATAATGAATACAAAACAGAGCTTAGTAGCGTTATTGCATTTGGTTTACCAGGATCCAAATGTGACGAGTTATTATTTAATATCAAGAAAAGTGATAAGATTCCAGAGGTGGAAAGAGCACATTACCAAAGCTATTTTATTGATCTAGCTGTTTGTGTATTAAGAATCATATTAAAATATAATATTATCAATGCAATTCCATTCCAAAATAAAAGTAATAGTATAGAAAACGCACATAAAATTTTAAAAGTTAAAGATGACACTTTTAATAAAAGACCATTACCATCGAATGTTTTAAATGAATTGAAATCATTTTGGAATGACCCAGCAATTGTAACAACTTATTCCCATCAAAGAGAATCATTATTACCAAAATATTTATTAGATGCTATTAACCAATTTAATATTTGTGCAAGAGTATTTGGTGGTACTTTTAAAAAATTAGAGGAGGGAGAGATTTTACAATTAATTCATAATCCATTAGAAAATTGTTTACCAGAATATGCTTTAACAGATTTAAGGTAATTATTAATAATAGTAGTAGTATAATGGTTAATAATCTTTTTTACTAATTATAATACTTTATAATAAATATAGAATATTAGATATTTCATCATTAAAAATTGAAAATATTGAAAATTGGATTTCGGATTTTACAGATACAAAATCATTTGTTTGGGTTTGTTCATTAGCATCATTTGATTCAGTTGAGGATCAAAATAGAAGATTACCAACAATTAAATCGACACGTATTTTACCAAGAACCAAATCAACAACAAACTTTAAAAAGAGTGGTGGAAATGTTAATAATGCTGGTTCATTGTCACCAAGTTTAAACGGTACCAATGGAAGTAATGGTAATATTTCAATTCACAATAGTGGTGGATCAATACCCAATAACAGTGGAAGCAATAATCAATTGGTAAATAGTAATAGTAATACATCACTTAGTTCAGTTAATGAAGATTCAAATATATCAGTCGAGCAAATCTCTGAAGCTCTTAGTAACAACTCATTAATTAGATCGGTAGAATTGTTTAGATATTTCACAAGATTCATCAAGAGACCAGCAATATTATTCTTTACAGATAAAGACCAGTTTTTAGAAAAAATTAAAAAAGGTGTTGATTTTAGACAATATTTCCCAGAATATAAAGGTAACCCAAAAGAATCCTCAGCAGTTTTCGATTTTATTAAACAACTTTTCACACCTGTAAATGGTATTAGTGGCCATACTACTGTTCACACATCAACTCTAAATGCTTTAGAAGACTTGAAAGTAATTTCTGCAACAATTTTTGCAATTGTTGCCCAAGAATCAATTGACATTTTAATTTAAAAAAAGAAAAAGATTCACACTTCAAATTTATAATAATAATAATAATAATAATAATAATAATAATAATAATAATAATTTAAATATTTTTAATAACTTTATTAAATAATTTTATTAAATAATATTATATATATAATTATGTAAAAAATCAATAATCAATAACAAAAAAAAAAAAATTTTAAAGATTATAAAAAATAAATCTTTTTAATATAAATAAAAATAAATAAAATAATAATAATAATAGTTATTTTAATAAATAAATAAATAAATAATAATATAATAATAATAATAATATTTATAGTTGTAATTTACTAAATTTAAAAAAAAAACCAAAATATATAAATAAAAAATAATATTTAAAAATATTTAAACAATAATTTTATAGTTTTTTATTTTTTTTTTTATACAATTAAAGATTTACTTTTAAATATATTTATTTTAATTTATTTAAACAATTTTTTTTTTTATTAAAGAGCTCTTTTCTTTGGATTTGGTAAATCAGTTGACTCATTTTTTCTCTTTTTGAGTGAGCTATCGCTGTATTCATCTTCGTCATCTTCATCATCCTCATCGTCATCTTCATCATCGCCTTCCTTTATTTCAATCGGAGCACCTTGTTCTCTTAATTTCTTATATTTTTCGACGATTTTGTCCTCTTCCTCTTGGTCGTAGTCATCTTCCTCTTCCTCAGCTTGAGCTTCTTCGGAGATCTCTGAATCAGAATTTTCACTTGATGGTTCATAGTCTTCATCATCTTCGGAATGATAGCTTTGATTTAATATTTCGTACGTTTTGGTTTGCTTGATCTCTTTACCAGACTGTTGTTGCTTATCGTAACTATAATCTGATGAGTCCGAGTCTGATTCTGAATCGTAGTTTGGTGATTGTGGATTGTTATCTATAGTTTTTAAGGTACTACTGGTTGTTGTTGTTGTGGTTGTAGTTGTAGTAGTTTTATTTTTTAATCCTATATTTTCGCTGGCTGATTCTGAATAATCTGATTCATCCTCATCATCATCTGATTCGGATCTTGCTATGGCATTATTGTTTGATTTGGGTATTCTAAGTCCTGATGTTTGACCGTTGGCTGTTTCTTCTTCTTCCTCTTCATCGTCATCATCATCTTCATCATCATCTTTATTATCTGATTCTTCTTCATCATCATCTTCCTCTCCACCTTCCACCTCTGCTTCTTCGTCATCATAATGCTTATTATTTGCATGAGTACTTTTTACAGGTGATTTACCATTCAAATGTGCTATATTTCCATTTCTTTCATTTTCTTCTTCAGAGTCTTCCTCTACAAAGCTTTCGTTGTCTTCTTCTTCATCGTCTTCATCCGACTCATCATCGGCCTCATCTTCAATTTCTTTACCGTTACTAAAATATTAAGAAAAAAAACGAAAATTAGTTTATTATTATTATTATTAATATTTAATTTTTTTATAACATACATATCATAACCATCTAATGCTACAAGTGATTTAATCATTGAAAATAATGCTCTTGGATAGGTTGGTAATAAAGTAACAGGACATGCAAATAAATCTAAAAATTGTAATGAAGGTAAACAATTCTATAGTTGTATAAACAATTAAAATGTTAATAAAATTGAATATTATTTTAGCTTTATAACTATTTAATACTTACCAATGGTTGTAACTCCTCTAATGTTTTAATTTGATTACCACTTAAGCTTAATGATTCTAATTTATCAAAACCTGATAATACTGATAATCCACCTGAAATTCTATTATCATTTAATTCTAGCTGTATTTTTTTTAAAAAAGAAAAAGAAAAATAAAATAAATTAAAATAAAATAAAAAAAATAAATATTAATGTTAATTTGTAAAATAAATTATTAATTTATCCATGTTATTTATTTTTGTTTCTGCTATTATTAAATGTAAAGCATGATGTGATGTATTTTATGAATAATAATAATAATAATAATCAAATGATTTTATTTATAGATTTGATTAAAATAGATGGATAAAAACATAGTTTTTTATGATTATGTGTTTATATTGGTGTGTAGGTGTGTTTAAGTGTGTGTGTATGTTTTTATGTTATTTATTTGTTTTTACTATTATTTTGTGATATGAAATAAAATAATTACTTTTCTTAAATTTTTAAAAATAGGTAAAGTTTCAATAGATTGAAGACTACAACCATTTAATGATAATATCTCTAATTCTGTTAAATCTTTTAAATCTGAAAGTTTTAGTATCCTTCTTTGGTCCAACACAAGTTGATTTACTTCTTTAGGATTTTTTTCACCAATATAAGTTGAGAGTACACTATTATCCATTTGTATTGTATATATATTTTAGTTATTTGTATTTATATTTAATATGTATATGTTTGTTGTGTATGTATGTATGTGTATGTGTATAGGTGTATATATAAATATAAATATATTTATTTTATAATTATTTGTTTTTATTTATTGTTTAATTTATTTATTTATTTATTTTTTTAAAATTTATCAATGAAATTTTTGAAAAACAAAAAAATAAAATTTAAAAAATTAATTTAGTTGATATCAGAGTGTGATTTATTTTTAAAAACTTTTTTGAAAAAAAATGAAATGAAATGAAATGAAAATATTATACAAAAAAAAAAAAAAGAATTATAACTGTACAATTAAAAAAAATAACAAAATTGTAATAGCTTTATTAATAAATATCTCTATTTATAGGGTGTTGTTTATATTATAGGTTTATTTAAATATGAAAATGATTAATTAGAATAAAGAGTTATTTAATATGTGATGTGTGAAATGTCTATATGAATAAAAATCGTTTAAATTATTTATTTTTTAATTTTTTTTTTAATTTTTATATGCACAAAAAAATTTAAAAAAAAATTTTAAAAAAAATTTAAAAAAAATTTTAAAAAAAAAAAAAAAAAAAAAAAAAGAAAAAAAAAAATACAATATATTTATTGTATTATATTACTACTAATTTATAAATGATATCAAGCGTATATTATTTTAAAATGATTTTTCGATTTATTGACTTTTGATCAGATACATTTTTGTTAATATTCATTTAGAAAAAAAATTCTGAATTTAGCTCTTTATTTTCTTTATTTTGATATTTCTTTTTTAGTGTCATTTCTTTGAAATAAAATTATTTCAAAAAAATAAAAAATAAAAATTGAAAAATGAAAAAGTATTATAAATCCTCTATTTATAAAAATTATTTATATATAGAGATAATATTTTTTTAATTATTTTTAAAATTTTTTAAAAATTAAAAAAAAAATAAAAAAAAATAAAATTTAAAATATTTTTTTTTTTTTTTTTAAATTTAAAAAAGAAAACAAAAAAAACAATATAGTTTCGTTGTGTGCATCTCCATCCTAATAAATTATAATCCTCCTCCTATTTTTTTTTTATTTTTTTTTTATTTGTATAGTTTTTTAAATTCATAAAAAAAAACCATAACATATACCTTCATCGACATAAAATTATTTTGTTTAAATAAAATCATACACATACACCATATATAGGAAATAAATATTGTATATAAATATATATATTTTTAAAAATGGGTATCTCATCTAGTACTGAACAAAAAAGTTCAGCTGGTGGTAGTACAGGAGTTGGTGGCAGTATTACAGATCAACAACAACAAAGATTTATTCAACAACAACTTCAACAACATCAACAACAAAGGCAACAACAATTACAACAACAACAACAACAATTACAGCAAAATCAACAATTACAACAACAAAGAAACAAGCAATTGCAACAACAACAACAGTTACAACAACAACAACAACAACAATATAAATCACAACCAATCCCTCAACAAAAAATCCCAACACCAACTAAACAATCATATGGTCAAACTATTATACAATCACCAAAATATTCATCAAGTGGTAAAACACCAGGAGGTTTAGAGTTTAATGTTTTAAGTAAGTTATTATATTTATTATAGTGATCATAATCGGATGTTTATTAACTAAAGTTTATTATCTATCTATTTATCTAAAGTGTCTCCACCATCATCTCCATTAGTTGGACCAATGGGTACACCACAAAGTCCAATCGAAAATCAAGTTGTACCAACAGTTTTTACATGGTCAGGCGGTGGAAAGGATGTTTATGTATCTGGCTCATTTAATAATTGGAAAGAAAAGATACCATTGAACAAGAGTGAAAAAGATTTTACATTAATCTATAATTTAACACCAGGTGTTCATCAATACAAATATATTGTAGATGGTAAATGGATTCATTCAACAGAACAACCAGTAGCTGCAGATATTAAAGGTAATTTATTAAACTTTATTGAGGTTAAAACCAAAGATCCAGCAAATGATTTAAACACATTAAAATGTAAAGTATTGGTAATCTATTAAGAATTTTAATTAAATGTTGTTATTAGTATATTAATATAAAGTTTTATTGTTTATTTATTTAGTATCAACAACACCCCCAGGATCATATAGTAGAACTATTCCAGAGGAGGAGGTACAGAAAATTCCACCACCATCATTACCACCACATTTAAGAAGAGCTCTTTTAAATACCCAACCATCAACTGAAGATCCAACACTTTTACCTTTACCACACCATGTTATGCTTTTACATTTATATAGTTTACCACGTGTTTTCGGTGTAATGATTTTAGGCGTTACACATCGTTATAAAACCAAATTTGTAACAACTGTATTATATAAACCAAACAATGCAACTTCTTCTGATGATTTAGAGGATTAATATTCATCTTACCATTATAATTAGTTCATTTATATTTAATAGCCAATATCCACCAACAAACCATCAATAATGTTAATTTTATCAATCAAAAAAAAAAAAATAATAAAATGTAAATATAATAGTTTAAAAATATTCATCTCATTCAAATAAGGTAATACTTTTTTGTAATATATAGTTTAAATTTTTAAAAAAAGAATATTGTTTAACCAAGAGGTTTTGGAAAATAATTATTTAATATTGTATTTTAACATAATAAATTTATATATAAATTATAATTTTGGTTTTTTAATGAAATTGTGTTTGATTATTTTAAAAAAAAAAAAATTGTGGGCTGGAATGAGCAGTACCCGATGGTTTTAATTTTTTTTTTATACTCACACACTGTGTGAACTATTTAGAGCGTTTGGGGTTATTAATATGAAAAATATTCTTTTATTATATGATTATATTTGATTTTGTAAATATTAATAAATAAATAAATTAAAAAAAAAATTCAAAACAATGTAATTTATATTTTTAAAAAAAATTAGTTTATATTATTTCATTCTCCACTGGATATAGATGTATATGATAAAATGAAAATACTATTAACTTTAATAATTTTATTTTCAAGCTATCTTTTTTCTAAAGGTATTTATAAACATTAATTAGCAAATTAAATAGATTTATTCTAAAATAAAAAATAGATTCCAATTGAAGATAATCTAAAAAAATATTTTAATAAAAATAAATAGAATAAAAGAAAAAATAATAAAATTTAAGAATAGAAAAAAGAGATTCTATTTTTATTATAAAATATTCATTTTTTAATAATTATTGTTTTTTTTTTTTGTTTCACAAATTATATATTATCTAATATTATAGGACAACCACCTGTTGATGTTGGTAGACTAAGACCTTTAGAGATAAATGGTGTAATAAGAAATTTTTAACCAGATAGATCACCAGATTTTGGCATACCTTTATATCTTGAAAGTTATGTTCCAGGTATTATGGCCCCAGTTTAGGCGAAAATAAAAGACCAAAATATTGCTGTGGTGAAAACCCATTCCTTGCTCCTGATGGAACTGTTTTGGTACATAATGAAGAATCATTTAATCAATGGTTTGATTCTGATGCCAATTGTACCAATTATCTATTTACTTTCCCTCTAACTTTTGATGCATGGGAAGACACAGTTCAAATAGGTTATGGTGGTCATGGTGGGCATTCATTTGCCCCAACCGTGGGTCTTGGTTTTGGTAACCCAGCTGATTTTCCTGAATATGCAGGTGATCCATTCAATCAATACTATTGCGTCGAACTTCATTTTTCAACGGTTGCTACCGATCCTGATACTAATTATTTCAGTTTGCAAGCACATGGAGAACTTTGGGTATATTTCAATAATAGTTTGGTTTTTGATAGTGGTGGCGATACACTAGGTAGCGGCGCTGCTACCAAGTTTGAGTACAGATCTATTCCAATGGTCAACTTTGATGGTACAACTGTTTACCCAATAGATGTCTATGCCTGTTTAAGATCTATTGATAATGCCCCAGATGGATCTCCATTTATTTTGTTTTCAGAGGCAAATATTTTCTGTAGTTGATAGATGCTAGTGGTGTATGTAATGGAGATAATATTACAGCACCATGTATCGATGATCCACTATCGTGTGTAGCCAAAACACCAATATGTGGAAATTGCATATCAGGACAAAGACAATGTAGCGGTCAGTCAACCACATGTTCCACACCAAAATGTATCGAGGGCCAAGGTTGTCAAATGGTGGATATTGACTGCAGTGATGAAGATGTTTGTATCGAAAATTTGTGTGATGATCTATTAGGTTGTATTGGTAACCCTATACCAAACTGCTATTGTAACTCGACAACTTGTATAACCACAGATGAATGCCTTCCACGTTCGTGTATTGATAATCAATGTATTGCTGCTCCAGTAGATTGTTCTATATTTTTACCAAATTGTGAAGAATCATTTTGTAACGCTGGTGAATGTATCTGTACTATAAATCCTGGCACCACTGGGGAAGTCACATCTGAAGTTGTAACCACAACTGATTTACCAACTATTACATCCACAATATCCGTTACAACCACATCAACCACTATTATATCAGCCACTGCCACATCAGCCACTACCACATCAGCCACTACCACATCAACTGGTTCGGAAACATCCATTGGCATTACCACCCACTACAGACCAGAGATATATATTTGCTCTGATGACTCTTGCCCATATGAATACTGTTGTATACAATTAAAGAAGAGCTATACTTGTGTTTCAAAATATTTTGAACATCAATGTTCCCCTCAAAGATTACCAGACTATTTTTAAAAACAAGTAAAATATTATTTTAATAAAACCGCAATAGTTTTAATTGAAAATGTTCCTTTTTGTTAATAATTGGTTAATTGTTTATGACAAATGAAAAACTACAATCCAAAATAATATCTATTTATTATAACAATAAAAACCATTTATATACATTATTCTTTATTTAATCTAATTATTAAAAATTATAAAATGAAAATATTGAATTTTTTTTATTTTTTTATTTTAATTAAATTTTATTTAAAATCATTTCAATGTAGTTTTAATAAATACTAAATACCAGATATTCACAGATTAATATTTAATTATATTTTATTTATTTATTTTATTATATTTTTGATTTTTAATTTTATTCTTTATAAGATGGTACGATATCGATAGTTTTAGAACTCTAGCCAAGGTATATTAAGTAGATAGGTTATTAAAAATTATTTACGTATAAAATTTAAATATATTTCTTAACCCACACTTTTTTTTCAATAATTTTTTTTTTTTTTTTTTTTTTTTTTTTTTTTTTTTTTTTTTCCAAAAAAAACCCATTTACAAATTATAATTTATTTTTAAAATAAATTATAGTTTTTTAAACAAGTACAAAGAATGAAATTAATAATTACACTTTTAATATTTGCAACTTTATTATATACAATTAATGCATCTAATAATGGATTCAATTCATTTACAATCAAAGGAAATGCAGAAAATTGTAATTTAATTATTGGTACAAATAATAAATGTGTTAGTGCATGTGGTAAATCAATTACAATAACAAAAAAATTCATGTCTTCAAATGACCAAGTATACACATTCCAATCGTATATAGACCAAGATAGTTGTAAAAAAAATGCTCTTCCCACAAATACCGATTTCGAATGTGGTGATAAAATAGTATCAATTGATGATATTACAATTCAATGCATAGTCTCATCACCAGAAGAAATCAAAGCTAGAGATACCCAAAGTAACAATCAAATTAATAGTCAACAAAGCCAACAAAATCAACAAAATCAACAAAATAATCATGAAGGAAACTCATCCTCAACACTAATCTATTCTGTAACACTAATTGCTTCATCCTTATTTGCATTATTAATTATTTAAATAAATAAATAATATCTAATTAAAAAATATAATATTATTTAAAATTAAATATTGATTTTTTTAAAATCTCAAAAGATTTTTTGCAGTGTTTTTTATCTTACATTATAAATAACCAGGGTTTTAAAATATATATATATGGTTCCCAGTATCTTTAAAGTATAGTATTAAAATAATGAAATTAAAAGAAATATTAAAATAAAGTTCTTATGAAATTGAATTAAAAAAAAAAATAGATATTAGGAGATATTTTATTTGTCATTTATGTGAAAAGATTTTTATACCAACAAAATATTTTTTTTTTTTTTAAAATTTGATTCAATTCCCAAATGATTTTTTTAAAATATCTTTTCAACTAAAAAATTATAAATAAAATAGTTTAAAATTTTTTTTTTTATTTTATTATTTTATCATTACACATAAAAAGTTATATTTATATAAAAAAATGGGATTCAAAAAAACATTATTTGCAACATCGTTGGCATTAGCTTTATCATCAGTGTCTGCTGATGTATTAAGTTGCTCTCAAATTTCAGATTTAGCTGCACAATACTTTGGTGAAAACAATTCTACTCTTGTTACCACCATGATTTGTATTTCACACTATGAATCCAGTTGGAACACTAATGCTTATAACCCTAGTGGAGCTTCAGGTAATTAAAATTTTTTATTATTATTTTGGCCAAATAGTACAAGTATCTAATTGTTTATTTATTTAATCAAATTTTTATAGGTTTATGGCAAATTATGCCAGAGGTATTTAATTTATTTTTTATTTTATAATTTTTTATATTATTAAAACTAATTTTATTTTTTTATTTATTTTTTTAGCATTGCGGTGGGGTAATTAATTTTTTAATTATTTTTTTTATTTTTTTTTTTATTATTTTTTTATTAAAAACTTCATATTAATTGATTAAAATAATTAAAATTGTATTTAGCTCTGTCCACAATGTTCAAGTCCATCAGATTTATTCAATGCTGATATAAATGCCCAGTGCGCAGTTGATGTATACAATGCACAAGGTTTTGGTGCTTGGACAACCTATGGTAGGATTTTATTTTAAAGTCGATAGTGTTTAAAAGGTAAAACTAATTTAAAAATTTTTATTTAACTTTTAGATGATGGTGATTGTGATGGATGGACTGGTTGCAGTGGTAAGTATTTAAAGGGAAGGCTTTATTTTATTAACTGTTTTAATTAATTTAATTTTTAATATAGCCTCAACTAGTTCAGGATCTAATAGTGGTTCACCAACTGGTTCAAACAGTGGCTCAAACAGTGGCTCATCATACAGTGGCTCAAACAGTGGTTCAAACAGTGGTTCAAACAGTGGTTCAAACAGTGGTTCAAACAGTGGTTCAAATAGTGGTTCAAATAGTGGTTCAAATAGTGGTTCAAACAGTGGTTCAAACAGTGGTTCAAACAGTGGAAGTGCTACAGGCACAGGTGCATCCACTGGTGATAGCTCCAATTCAGGCTCAGGTACAGGCTCAGGTAGAGCCAATCATTTTACAGTATATTAGCCAACTATTAAAAAAAAAAACAAATGTTTACTTGATATTCAATACTCTTTTGTATTCTTTTTTTATTTATTTCGACAGGTTAATAAAAACTATTATTAAACTATGGTTTAATCAAACTTTAATTTTGTTTTGTTCTTTTAAATAAACTTTTATATTTCTTTTTTTAAATGAATTTTAAATTTTAAATTTTAATTAATTAATGTAATTAATTGAAGTTTATTTGATATTATTATTATTATTATAATATAACTATTATAATATAATTATTAATTGTTATTATTATTATTAAACTCTTTAGATTTAAACCCCAACGCCGTCATAGTCATCAATAATTAATTTATCTATGTCATGATCCATTATATCTTCCTCATCGCTTGTGTCATAGTCTACAAGTAAATTGATTCTATCTGATTCGATTTCTTTTAATTCTCTACTTTTTCTGCATCTGCAAATATGTTTTTCAAAGAAATAAATATAGTGTTTAGTAAAGCCCTCGTTGATACCATATACAATACAATTCAAAAAGCCTATAGCAAATTAATATTGTTAATATTTATTTAATACATATATATTTTTTATAAAATAGAAAATCAATACATACCTTGAAGTGGTTGTAATAGTAATTGGAAGGCATATAAGGAGAATTGAGGATCGTTAGGTTTTGAAAAATTTTGAAAACTATTAATGATTGTTGGTAATTGAGATAAAGTGAACGCTATTAAATAGAATGATACTATAATATTAACCTTTGAAACCAAAGAATTTGAATGTTGAGAAATTTTCCATCGAATTGCAACAAATACTAATAGATTTATAAAAAATACTGCTATCAAAGGAACGTAATAAAGTAATCTAAAAACACTAGTGGGGTCATATAAAAAACACCTAATATTAAACAATAATTGTAAATAATGATAATGATAAACAATAAAGAATAAAAATGAATAGTGTCAATAACTTACCATGAAGCAGTTCTTCCATATGCGTGAAATAATAATGAAACTAATGCTGTAATAAAAGGTATACCCCAACAAACCATATGAAAATATTTTAACCAATGATTTAACTCGTATCTACTTGTAAAAAATACAACAAATAAACTAATAGAAATACACATTGTCCAAAAATAAGAAGAGGATAAAAAAAATACCAATCTATATATTATTATTATTATTATTATTAATGTTTGTTAGTATTGTTAAACTATTTGTCATATAAACCCAATGCCAATAGTTACCCCATTCCTTGAAGATTGCACATTACCGTATTTCTTCTACCAAATGGTAAATATGAAATTGCAGACATTAAATCTGATAATGATAAAAAAAATATTAATTTTGTTGCAAAAGATCTAACATCTTTAAATAAAATAAATGTTATAATAATAAATAATGCTCCAGCACAGCCCATCCCACTACTAATATAAACTATACTATCTAATTTTTCTATTTGCTCTTTTGTAAAGTGATCATAACCACTATCATCGCTGATGCTACTGGTGATACTACTACCACTACCTATATTATTATTACTTCCTATACTACTATTATTGTTTATTTTGAATACATTTTTAAAATCTATATTATTGTTATTGCTGTTAAATTCCGCCGACGAAACATTAACCACTATAATACAACATAGTATCAATAGTATTGTTTTTGATAAATATTTAAAAACCAACATATAAATATTATAAATAATAATTAGTTGTATATAAAAATTTAAGTTTCTTTTAATTTAAAAAAAAAAAATTTTTAAAAAAATAAAAAAAAAAAATTTTTTTTAAAAAAATAAATAATATTTTATAAATATAATATGTTTGCTTTTTTTTTTTTATATAAAATTTTTATTTGTTTTTTTTTTTTTTTTGAAAATTAAATTAATTAAATTAAACTAAATTAAATTAATTAAACTACAATGATTAAATAAAATTAATTGAACCAAAAGTCATTATTGTTGTTACTGTTATTTTGTTGTGGTTGTGGGTTAAAAAAATTATTATTACTATTATTATTATTAAAATTGTTATTGTTTTGTTGTGGTGATGAAAAGAAATCATTTGAGTTTCCAAAGTTTCCAAATGGATCAATATTATTGTTTTGTGAGTGTTGTGGTTGTTGTTGTTGTTGTTGTGGTTGATTGAAAAAATTATTACTTTGTTGTTGTTGTTGTGGTTGTTGTTGTTGTGGTGATGAAAAGAAATCATTTTGTTGAGATCCTGATTGTTGAACAATTGGTCTAACACCTTTTGAACCTGCTGGTGGTGGTGGGGATAAAAGGAAACCGCCACCAGCTCCTGTTACAACTGCTATTTTATTTTGTTGTTGTTGTGGAGCATTCTTTACTGGTGCTTTAAATGGAATATGAATGGTTTGACCAGTTTTTAAACTATAATCTTTCTTTGGTTCGTTTTCATATTTCTTTTTTTGAACCTCAATATCTTTTTTATTTTTAACATAGCTAAAAATGATAAATATTAGTATTGATATTATGCTATATTTGAAGATAAAAATATAATAATTACTTTTGATGATCTTGTAAAGTTGCACTAAAATCGAAAGCATCGGATCTATCAGTGAAACCCATACCAACAAAAGCATGACGCTCTCCATCTTTAATTTTAATGACAAAGTAACGGCTACTATCAACGACTGGTTCTACTGCAGTGCTGTCGACTGGACATTGTGCGAAAATTTCACCACTGTTTGGATCTTCGAATCTAATTACACATAAATCCCCTCTTGCAACAATAACCAATCTACCTGACCAAATATATGTTGATGGATCCCAATCTTGTGCTTTATAACCTTGTGCACTTGGTCTTGGTGGAATTCTATAAATAAAACATTCTTTTTTAATTAATAATGTTTGTTCATGATCTTCTTCCATTTTTTTCTTTTTAATTTAATTAATTATTATTATTTATTATTTCTATTATAAATATCTTCTTTTTTTTTTTTTTATTTTAATTCCACAAAACACACTAATACTAAAATGTAGAATACTATTATGTATAAAATAAAATGATATTTTTTGTTAATGAAAAAATAAAAATAATAAAAAAAAAATTAAAAAAAAATTAAAAAAAAAAAAAAAAATATTTTAAAAAAAAAAAATTTCAAAATAATAATTTTTATTTAAATACACATATTGAGGTTGCTTGCAACCTTGAATATCTGGGAACGCAATCCATTTTCGATAAACTATTCTCTCTTTTTCATTTTCAATTTAATCATTTCATATATATATTTCAAAAACCTATTTAAATATAAATAAAAAATTTTAATTTTAATTTTAATTTTTTTTTTTTTTTAAATTTAATATTTTTTTAAATTTTTATTTTTTTTTTTATATAATAATAAAGAAAATATGACTAAAAAAAGATTTTGTATATATAAATAACCTCTTCAACATTTTATAACAATAATTATATATTTTTTTTATTTTCAATTTCAAAATAAAGATGCCTTCGTGGAAAGAAAAGGCACTTTCATATATTACAAAAGAAAAAATTACAAAATCCCAAGTAGAGCATTTATCAAGCAGTGCCGTAGAAACGTGTTTAGAACGAAACGATGTAGGCATACCTTTACTATATATATAAAGCAACACCAAAACATATACTAATATTTTATAAACTTAATAGTACATAACTTACTTTTCAAACTCATTAAATGACATTTTAAACAACTGTAATGTAAAATATATTCTATCAGTATTATATGTAGTTGACGGTATATTAAAACTGCTTCACAAGAAAAAAGTTAGCGATAACATATTACAAAATTTCAAAACATCATTTTCCTCAATACTGGAAAGGAATGAAAAGAAAATTTTACAACAAACACCTGAACCCGACTGTAAAAAACTTATAAAACTATTTCAGTTTTGGATAGAAAGAGATGATTTCGATCAACATTTAATTAAAAAATGGGTATATAGAATTTCCGATGACCTAGGAATAGATTTAAGTAATAGTAACAATAATAAAAACAATAATAATAATAATAATAATAATAATAATAATAATAATAATAATAATAATATTAATAATAACAAAACTACCACCACTACCACCGCTACAACTATTGCAAAAAGCCATAATAACAAAAGAGAATTTAGTAAAGAAGATGAAGTATTTAATAATAATTTTGAAATCAACGATATATTAGAACCCGAATTAAAATATCAAAAAACTTCACATAACAATATAGAAAATTTTGGGGGGCTTTCAATAACACCAAATAATAATAGACCAAGGAAACACGATCACAATTATATTTATTTATTACCAACAGAAATGTTTTATGAAATATTTTCAAATCTTTCGGTAGCAACCTTATCAAGGATAGCAAGAGTTTCAAAATTTTTTAGATATATAACTATTCACCTACCATTTATCAAGGCAATGACATTCGATGTTAATATACCACCAGATGATATTAGAAGGGCTCTAATTCAATTCAACATGGTAGTTAAAATTGATTTATCATTCAATAAGAATATTTGTGAACCCATTATTCAAACCATTATAAATCATTGCCGCCATTTGAAAAAGCTCGATGTTTCTGGATGTTTGGGCCTGGATCTGGGAGTGATATCAAGTCTGCTTGGTGGCATAGTTGAAAAAAAGAGAAAATCAAAAACAACATCCATACCAAAGTCAAAACCGAGCAAAAGAGCACTCCGCGAAATTCTATATAGTGTTGAAAGAGGCTTAGAGAGTCCTTTATCCAAAAACAGAGACTCAACTTTCAAAACCACTGGTCACCAGGAGATGGATATTACCGTTAAAGAAACTACCCCACCCATTGTAGAAACCGAACCAAATTTTAGAGAAACTCTCGAATCATTATCAATCTCACAAATTGTAGATCAAAAATCAAATAGAAACCAATTAATTTTTAAAACCATTTTTAATGATAAAAATGGTACAAATATCAATAATTTAAGGAAATTAGATATTAGTTGTTGTCATGGTTTGATCTTTTTAACAATGCAAGATTACCAATACCCCCTATCAAACACCATCCAGACGTTAAACATTGATTGCTACTGTAACCACATTGATATTAAAAGCTATTCTGTTGGTCTATCAAATATACCAATCAACTTTCCAAATTTAAAAAAACTTTATTCGCTGTCTGAACCAGGTCCAGAGTTCCCAAACCTTTCTTCGCAACCAATTCGAGTTATTTCAAATAATATTTGGAAAGCAGTTTTATCAAATGATATTAACCAAATTAACGACTTGTTACAATATCAAACGTAAGTTTAATAACGATAAGCAGCATAAAAAATATTAAATTTTTATACTAAAACTATTTATTTTATAAATTTAATAGTAGATCAACATTAAATAAAAGATATAGCAGTGGAACTACAGCATTATATGCCGCTTGTAAATTTGGATATGTAAAAACAATAGATTTATTATTAGATAGAGAAGAGTGTGATTGGTCAATAGGTGACCAGAATGGAATTACCCCATTAACAATTTCTCAAAATATATTTATAGTTCAAATGTTATTATCAAAAGGGGTCAAAGCATATAACGAATTTGAAATCACTTTTGTTAAGGTGTGTGAGATACTACTAAAATATCACCCATTCCTCAATAAACAATCAAATTCCAAACCAACGGATCCAAAAGATGATGAATTTGATCAACTTTTAAAACTATTACTATTAGAAAGGAAATTACCCGATGGTTTTTTAATGACAAGAGAAATTTTTCAACAAAATGCAATTTTAATATGTAAATTTATAAAGAATTTTGATTTTTTTAAATCGTAAGTTAATAATAACTAATGTACTTTTTAAATATATTTACTTACAATCATTTTAATAAACAGGTATATTGAAAACTCGTATAGAAATTTAAAAAGATTTGAACTTGTTCAGCAAACACTTAGAAATGACGATATTTACGACAGATTTATATTTGAACATTTGGACAAAACATATCAACAAAAAATTTATTTAATACTTTTTAATAACTACATTAAATAGTAAATAGTTAATAAATAAAAAAAAATATTTAACATTCAATAACATACTTTAGTCACTATATTAATAATTCAATCACTTTATTTTATTTTTTTCATTTCAAAAATTGTTATTCCCACAAAAGAAATAAAGATTTATTGTTATTAAATTTTTTTATAAAAAATATAAATTAAAAAAATTAATCAAGTTTAGCATTTTTACCAAATGACATTATTCAAATTAGCAGTATTTAGAAATAAAAAGTAGTAATGAGAAAATTAGTAGACTCAGTTCATGTTAGCTATATCCATCAAAGCTTAAATTTTGTGATGAAGGTCATACACAGTGGATGAACTGTAAGCAAAATGGTGCTTTTAGAAAGAGTTTCAATTAAATCAAAAATTCGATATTACAAGTGGTTCATCATTAAAAACAATTTATCTTGGTTTTAAAACTATTAACCACCTTGAATATATACATTAGAATGACGGTGTTTATCTAATACCGGGTATGTGTTTTTATTACATATTTTTTTTATATTTTTTTTTTTTAAAAAATTATATTTTTTTTTTTATTTTTTTTTATTTTTTTTTTTTTTTAATATATATTACTATATGTTATTTATATTTGTTTTAAATTATATTATTGAAAGGTTTTTAATTTTTTGTTTTTTTTTTTTTATATTATTATTGATGACTATAATAATTTATAAATATTTTTTTGTTTTGTTTTGTTTTTTTAAAGTATAATACAACCATTTTTCTTTTTATCTTTCTTTTTATCTTTTTTGTCTGGAACGCTGGTGGTGTTTGAAGTACCATCTGTACTCTTTTTATCCATACCTCTTGATTCAAGTACAATTTCAATTGCAGAGTTGAAAACTTCTTCTAAACCTTCACGAGTTTTAGCTGAAACTTCTAAATATTTCTTAGCTTTGATTTGTTTTTGCATTGAAACACCCATATCGTGAGTAACTGGTTCAAATTTACCAGAGTTTGGATCTGGATGTTGTTGTTCACGTAAATCAATTTTGGTACCAACAAGAATTGATGGTACATCTGGAATATAATGGTTAACTTCTGGTGCCCATTTATCTCTAATGGCTTCATATGATGATTGACTGATAGTACTAAAACAAAGGAGAACAACATCAGCACCTGGATATGATAATGGACGAAGTCTAAAATAATAAAGAATTGGCCAATTAATAAATTGTTATTTAATATTTATGTTTGTCGTATTATAATATTATTTACCTGTCGTATTCTTCTTGACCTGCAGTATCCCATAAGTGTACTTTAATATCTTCATTTCCTCTCTTTCTGGTAGCTGTATAATTTTCAAAGACGGTTGGTACATAATCTACTGGGAAATCATTTTGAGCATAACAAATTAAAAGACAAGTTTTACTGTAAAATTATTTAATTGGTTTATATTAATAAATTGATAAAATTAAGTTTAAAAGATGATTTGATAGTTTGTTGATTTTTGTTTGTAAAAATTGAATATTTTAAAATAAATAAAAAAATATTAATATTTAGCTCCATATAGTTTATGTTTAAAGATAATATAAAAGTAATTACCCAACTGCACCATCACCAACAACAACTAATTTAACTCTTGTAGCACCTGAACCTGTATCCTATTGAAGTTTAAAATAAATGTATATTGTTGTTAAAATTATGATTCACTTGATTTAATTTCTTGCTATATTTATGAAACAACTTACTTCTGACATTTTCTTTTAATATATATTGTAAAGTTTTGTTACAGTTAAATAAATAAATAAATTTTGATTCTTGAGTTTTATATAATATAAAATTATTCTGTTTGAACTTTTAAAATATGCTATAATAAAAATTAAGAAATTAATTTTTTTGATTAGTTTAATGTTTTTATATAAAAAAAGTGTTATAAAGAAGAAAAAACAATTTAAAAAATAAATATATAAATATACACAATAATCAAAAAAAATTAAAAAAAAATTAAAAAAAAAAAAATTAAAAAAAAAAAAATTAAAAAAAAAAAAAAAAAAAAAAAAAAGAATTTATGTTGTGTTGATAAAAAAAGAAAGAAAAAAATAGTGTGGATGTGTTATTTATTGTTATAATGTTTACAGTATATTAAAGTTATAAGTTATATTATGTATTATAAAATTAAATGTTAAATATATGAAAAAAAAAATTATCGTAATGTTAAATTTTATATAAAAAAAAATTTTAAAAAAATTAAAAAATTGAAAATTTTTTTTTTTTTAATGAATATTTTATGATAAAAAATGGAATATAAATGGCTAGGTGGAGTGAATTTTTTTTTTTTTTTTTAAAAGAATTATATATAATAATAGTTTAAAAAACTAAACAAAGAAAAATATTAAATAAATATTTTGATATATACAAAAAAATAAATAAATAAAAAAATAAAAAAAGGAAGACAAAAAACGTTTTGAAATAGTGAATATTAGGAGAAATAAAAATACAATATAAGAAAAAAATATTGTTTTAAAATATTTGTATTTTTGATTTATGTTTGATTATTAGGAAAATAAAAAAAAATTTATCTTTTTTGTTTCATTGACAGTAATTACGAATATTTACATACAATTTCTAAATTTTATACAAAAAAATAAGATAGAAATAATAATTATATTTTTGGGTTATATAAATAAAAAAATGAAAAAAAAAAAAAAAAAATTTCAAAAAAAAGAAAATAAAAAATTATAAAAATCTTTTTTTTTCATTTTTTTTTAAAGGTAACTTTTTATTTATTTTCTTTGAATAAAAAAAAAAAAAAAAAGATGGTATCTTTTTGTGTTAATTGAGATTATAACGTTGTATGTGTTATATATGCATACCTATTTTCAAAACAAAAAATAAAATAAAATAAAATAAAATAAAATAATAGAAAAAAAAAAAATAGTAATAAACAATTAAATAAATAACAAGAAAAAAAAATTTAATCAAACCTTTTATTAATTATTGTTTGTGGTTTTTTTTTTTTAAAAATCAAACGATTTTGTTTTTTTTACTGTTTTTCCCCCAAAATTACTTTTAAAATGTTTATAAAATTTTAATAATTAAAACCGATCAACAGTGTTTTTTTAGAATAAACCCAATCTAAAAATAGAATAAAATTATAATATTTTTTAAATAAACCAATTCAAAAAAAATTTTTACAAAGAAAAAATTCAATTTAAAATTTTTTTTTTTTTTAAAAATTTTTTTCAATTCAAAGGGGAATTTTTTTTTTTTTTTGGGACTTTCCCAAACACCAAATTGGTTGGTTGGACCGGGGGGGGGGACGGGACCCACAAAAACAAAAAATGGGAAGCTTTGGTAGAGAGAAAACACCACCCCGAGTTAAGTGGGCCCCCCGGGGGGGGGCCCCGGTTTCCCCCCTCACGTTTTTTTCCCGATAAA